AATGAATTACTTAATTTATCATAAATATGACTGATAAATTTTTTTAATTTATTTTAATTAATATTTTATATATTTTTAGATGATAAAAAAATATTTTAAAAAACAAAAGCAAAGGTATTGCATTCACAAACTACGACATAAGCGGCCGAACTAATCCATTTTCGCACATAAACCTCTAAACTATTTTTTATCCTTATATGTCCCTTAACTTTCGGATTTAAGCAAATTAACTCTTTATTAACGGTTTCCATACTTCCCATTTAAGAATCTAATCACGGCAGTCAAAGGAAATGGTTAAATCATAGTTTAGCCCATTTACTTTTCACATTTCAAAGAAAATCAGTTTCTAGACTTAAACAAAGATTACTAAAAAAACTTAAAACAAAAAATAAAAAAAGTATCAATCCAATTAGCACCCATTCCAAAAACCCACACCATGGTTTTCGTCTTTCTAGAAATCAATTCAGCATCATACGTCAAATTTCTCCCTAACCTATCCCAAAATTAAAATAAAAAATTAAAAGCATGTACAATGCATGTTCTATTTAGTGTTTACTTTTTAAAATAAAATAAAAATAAAATTCTAGTTCACTAAAATTATGTCATAAAAAAATTAATTTTCTCTGTAGAATATGTTTATTTTATTTGTAAAATTATAATTTGCCTTTAAAGAAAATAGAAGGGCTGCAGCGCCAATAACAATGTGAGGCGCTGCAGCCAAAGTTTCGATTCAATGGCATTTTGTTGTTGGATCCAACAATTCTGTTCTTTTTTTTTTTTTTTTCCTTTTCAATTTTTTAATTTAAATCTATTTTATTTTAATATTAAAAATGTATATTAAATAAAATAATTTTAGTGTGGATTTTAAGAAAACTTTACATATTAGAAGATAAGTGTTTTATTAGATATTTTATTTAAAAATTAAATATAAAAAATATGAATTTATATATAATAATATTAATTGTGATGATGTGATGTTAAAATAAATTTTTTAATTGATCTCCATTATACATGCTCTTAAAAAGGCAAAAAGGTCAAGGTATATACTTTCAATATTGTTGTCTTCTCTAATACGAGGGATTGAGGAAGTAGGATTCGAAAATTGATCCAATCTTGAGAGGAAAATCTATTCACAAATTAATTAAGGATAAATTTTTAGATCTACTTTAA